CCCCCCCCCATTATTAAAGACAGAGAGCTTTATAAGTTCTCCTGTGTTGGTAATCTGGGCATCCTGATCTGATCAGTTTACACAAGTACAAGGGTTTGCATAAATACAGAGATGTTGCCTGAAATACGAGTTGAAATTTGAACATGAATATAAGCAGACGCATGCATAGATACAGTATGAACAGAAATCGAAAACAAGGAGATTAATATCTTCATATGGTCCATTTCGATGGTAACAGCACTCTAATTCTTATTAAAGCTGCATTGAGCTCTGTTGCTTTCTGCTGTCTACACATGCAGCATCCTATGCTCAAGTCAAATCTTCTAACATAAGTATTTTTTGAGGAACCCATTAATTTACCTCCATAAATATTCTCAGTTATCCTCAATTTATATAGTTTGTTGACAGATGAAATGTTGAGGACTTCTTAGGTAGACCTCACAAAGTAAATACTGCTTGCAGTTGTTAATGACAGTGCAAACAAGTAACCATGAGCTGGTAACACCAGTCCTAAGATGAAACTTACAATGCTTGAGGCTTACATGAGCGCTAATTTACAGCTTACACAGTACTAAAACATCAGACATTTGTAACATTGAAGGTACTTCAAAAATACCACTTGTAAAAAAAAAACAAAAACATTTGTTATATATAACATAACATATGTATAAATGTTATATATAATATAATATAATATATAATGGCTAAATGAAATGGCTGATCTATTGAATTACATAACTGAGCTTATGTTTAGCATGATTTAATTAAGTCCCTAGACATATGTGATTTTGACATTTGTGCTCATTTGCATTGAATAAGAGGAAACATCACATGATTAAATTATTTCTTAGCATCTCTTCAGCAAAAAAAATAATAAAAATAGCACTTCCCTGTGTGCGGTGCAATATGTCATCTTTGACTTCCAAAAATAATTATTTACTTACATTTATTTATTTAAAAATAAATAAATAATTATATAAACAATGTCAAATTTTCTTGCCTTAGTATTTATTTATCATCCTTAATTAATTTTTGTTATAATTTGCAAAAATGATAATATATTCAAATATATTATTTATTATATTTCAAGATTATTTAGGCACTTACTTTAACTCCTATTATACTTTAAATTTGAGATTGTGGACAGTACTACAAATATTGTTAGCTTTTATAACACATTTCTTGTGATGTTCCTAAAGTTACTTTGGATAAAAGCATCTACTAAATGACTAACTAAATGTAAATGTATATATTATGGTAATTGTATTTATTACCAGTAACAGTTACATGAGGCAAAATAAGTTTTAAGCACAAACCTGTATTAAGGTAAAACTGAAATGTTCAGCTTTTTTACAACTGCTTATTAGATCAATAAATTCTAATGTTGTATTATATGATTACAGATGACTTTAGTAAGGGTTTGCAGTCTAGGAGTTTTGCTTTAAAAGCAAATGATGAAAGAAGTGGCGGACAGTAGTATACTCCCGGTGGCCCCGGAGGAAACAGGGGCCGGGGTACTGTCGGGCTGGAGCTAAAAATACCAGCGGTGCGTTTGAGTCACACGGTAGCCTGGGCTTCCTGTTTTCACTCTCCCATGTTTACTTCCCAGAGAGATAGAGGGGGACAGAGAGGAGGCGGTGGGGTGAGACTGGGGGACCTGATGCCTTCAC